CAAATATAACACTTCCTTGGATTTAGGCGCCGTCGTCACTGTTGGGGCCGTGAGCACTTTCTTCAAGTCGTCAAATGCCCGGCTACACTCCTCGGTCCACTTGAATTTGGAGGCCTTTTTTAACACTTTAAAAAAGGGGGCGCCCCGGTCGGAGGCTCGGGGGATGAAGCGCCCAAGCGCAGCCAGCCTGCCCGTCAATCCTTGCACTTCCTTCGGAGTTCGCGGGGGCGCCAGACTCACTATCGCCTCAACCTGTTTGGGATTTGCTTTAATTCCCCTCTTGGTTATCATGAATCCCAGAAACTTTCCCGCTTCTGCCAAAAACACACACTTCTTGGGATTGAGCCTTAGCTTGAAGAAACGCATGGTCTCAAAAGTTTCACGTAGGTCCCCAAGGTGGTCTAGGCGCCTCTTGCTTTTCACGATTAGATCGTCCACATATGCCTCCACGTTTCTTCCTAGTTGCTTTCTGAACACTTGATTGACCATTCGCTGGTAGGTTGCCCCCGCGTTCTTTAGACCGAACGCCATCACTTTGTAGCAAAAGTTACCAAAAGGTGTCATGAAAGCTGTCTTCGCCCTGTCCTCTTCTGTCATGGGGATTTGATGGTAGCCTGAGAACATGTCGAAGAAGCTAAGTGCCTCATGATAGGCCGTCGCATCCACCAGGAGGTCAATACGTGGCATAGGATAAGCATCTGTGGGGCACGCACGGTTAAGGTTCGTAAAATCCACACACATTCTCCAATCTCCCGATGGCTTTGGGACGAATACTACATTCGAGAGCCAAGTAATGTATCTTGCTTCCTCCACGAATCCCGCCTCGAGCAACTTATCCACCTCCCGACGGAGCGCTTCTTCCTTTTCCTGAGTCAAGTTCCGCCTCTTTTGTTGAACGGGCCTCTTACCCTCCTCCACAGCCAGCCTATGCATCGCAATCTCCGGCGACACACCGGGCATGTCCTGTGCACTCCAAGCAAACAACTCTCCGAATTCTCGCAACAACTCGATTAGTGGAGCCCTCATGTCCTCTGGCGCCTGCTCCGATATTCTCACTTGTCGTTCTGGACGCCCTTCATCAATTGCCACCACCAATTCCCCGTCCAAGGATTCAGCTCTGGACGCCTCCTCAGATCGGATATCAATGACATTCAACCTGTGTCGTCGGACGCCTCGCTCCGCCTCTCGAGCATAACGTGGGGCGCTCCTTCCTCGTGAGATGCCTATACCCTGCGGTGCCACGAATTTCAATGACTGGTGGCACGTAGAAGCCACCCCATTAAACTGTGCTAATAGGGGGCGCCCTAGTATCACATTGTACGGCGATGGGAAATCCACAATTCCGAACTCTACCGAGTGAGTCACACAATGTACTTCATCTCCTAGAGTCACTGGGAGTCGCACACGCCCGATGACTTGGGCAGGCGCCCCTGAAAAACCTATTAGCACCGAGCTTGAAGGCCTTACCAACTCCGGCGCCAGCTGCATGCGCTCAAACGTGCTTTTGAACAGAACATCCATTGAACTTCCCGTATCGACTAACATTCTCTTCACCTTGCAACCCGCTATCACGCCTAGTATCTCCAATGCCTCCTCTGATGGAACTTGACATGCCTCCTCGGGCTCCTGGTTGAAGTGTATTTGCACCGCTGCCTTTGCTTCGATCGATGCCGCTCTTAGGCGCCTCGTCCTCTCCAGCTTATCCCTCAAATCAAGGGTTCCGGTAATCGATTCCACCGTGAGCCTCACACGGCTGGGGTCACCACTTTGATCCACCTCAAAGGGTGGTGGGGGTATCTCGGGCGCCTCATTCACTACTGCTTCTTTTTGTGCCTCCTGCGCTTTTGGCGCCATGGGCGGCGCGGATACCTCCGCCTCGACGCGCCTTATAGGCGCCCGTTCTGCCACTCTTGTCGTGTAAGCGCGATGGGTTCTGTCCTCCCCCCGTCTGATGAAATCATTGAGCATTCCCTTATCCGCTAACGTTTGGAGTTCGGCCTTCAACTGATAGTAATCAGCCGTGTGGTGCCCCTTGTCCCGATGGAAATCGCAGTACCGATCAAGATTTTTCTCGTTTGGTTGTCCGCGCATTGGTCCCGGCCATCGTATGTGGTACCCTCTGTCCTTGACGTATTGCAAGACATTCTTCAGCGTATCGTTGTATTCCGTGAAATTCCCCGATGACCTTGGCGCCTGGCGTTGCATATCCGGCCTCCTCTGAGGCATGACACTTCCTACCGCTGGCCTGGACGCCTGTCTTCCTTCTATCTCTTCACCTCTCATGCGCCTCTTTTCAGCTCTACGCGCTGCCAACGTTTCTTCCAACATGATCACTTTCTGCACCCTTCGATCCAGGTCCTCCGTAGACACCACGTCTCGCTTCGAGAGGGCTCGACACAATTCTTCACTGGTCGTGCAAGCGTCTAAACATACCCCCAACACCGCTGGTTGCACATCCTTGACCTCCATGGCGACTGAAATCCATCGATCATAGAATTCCCGTAGCGCCTCCCCCTCTCTCTGTCTTACTTTGAATAAGGCGCCTATGGTTAGAGTTCGGCGCTTCCGGCTAGCGAACTTAGACAAGAATAACTCAGCGAATTGTTCGAAGCATTCGATACGCCCTTCATTAATTTGATGATACCAGTCCAAAACAACTCCCGCGAACGTGGACGGGAATACCTTGCACAACGTCGCATCGGAGCTATTGTACAATTGCATTTTGGTGAAGTAGCTATTCAAATGATCCTCCGGGTCAGCCACCCCGTCGTAACTTGGTAATGGTGGTATCGTTGTTCCAGCTGGCTCCATCAGAATGTTTCGTGCGAGAGGTTGTCGAACACCGAAGCGTTTTTCCAGACGCCTAGGCGCCCACATATTAGGCTCCTCAACGCCATTTGTTTGTGGTTCAGCTTGCTGCCTCCAAGTGCGTGGGCGCCCCTGATATCCGGCGCCTAAGTCGGCATGCTGCGGAATCCCATACTGCATCGACTCAGAATCTTCGTTCGCCCTCTCCCTCTTTCTGATACCCGGATTATATGTCATCATGTCTTCGCTCCTTCCCCCTTCAATTTCCCTCCTAAGAGCTGCGATGGCCCTATCCTGATCAGCAATGATTCGGAACAACTCCCTTTTTGTCAATGACTCATCTTCCCGTGGTGACAGGCGCTCATGGCTAGCTTCCCCTTCTACATCCATAGGTGTCTCCGGACTCGACTGGCGCTCACCATCCCCCAAATTGGAACCCTCTGATCGGGCAACATCTCCTCCTCCATTCTCCTCATCAAAATTTTCCATGCGCCTGATCTCTCCTCCCTCCTATCTGGCGCGCCAATTGTTTAAGCCTCAACACTCCGCTCTCAATTCTTTCCCAATTCTCTCCTCGTCGAACAGTATTCTCCACCAGGCGCTCCGACCCTGCACAGATAAACGCCTAGAGGGCTTGGATTGCCCGTTAGCACTCCGAAGCTTAAGTCAGATCCTGCCTTTTAGAGAGAGAAGTAAACTCAGGATCTTAGTGAGAGAAGCCAACCTGCGTAAATGCTACCTACCGGGTACTATTTATACTGGCCGAGGTCCCAACGGTCTTCTTGGCATTTCAACCCACGTCAGCTCTTCATTTAATGCATGGTACGGTACAGCAGTCAGGCGCCTATACGTGGCCGCTTCAGAACGCCCCGAGGGGGGCGCCCAGCAGGGACCACAGCCGCCATGTGGCTCGTTTCCCTGCTTGCCCTTCCGTACCCTTTGTCCTCATGCCTCCTTTGTCGTCATGCGCCTGTCCTACCTTGAGAAGCCTAATCCATTGTTTTGGCCTTTTCAAACCTAAACTATTCCTTTTTGGACCCGTTTTACTATTCCCACCTCATGGGCTTGGGCCTATTTATACTTCCCCAACAATTACTACCTTGATTGTTAATGTAACACGAACCATTTTGTTGTGAACTTCATAGCCTGATATCAAGCTGAATAGTACGCAGAAACTCTACTGATGCATTTCAACCACAGCAGTCGCCAGTCATTTTTGTTTACTAGGAACGCAGTCGCGGCAAAAATTAATAGGCCAAACATATAACTTGCATTAGTTTAGGTTATTGCTTGCACAAATAATAACTTTACATCATCGGAACTCCAAAATTTCACCTGCTGCATGCTGATAATATAAACAACTCTACGCGTCAGTCCTGGTCTTTTAAGAGAACTAAACTGGTATTCAATTTCTTTTCTTATGAACAAATTGATATTCCTTAGTTAACCATATCAACTTACATGATTTGTGTTGGGTTTATTTGAACGAGGGTGTAGGTAATTAACCTGTATTTTTGGTAAATAGTCGCCCGGGCCTGGTCACTGCGGATACAGGATTTCTACATATGTCCTCTCTCAAAAATTAAATTTAATTAAATATTAGAATTAAATTAAATAATAATTAAATATGAAAATATCTTACTAATAAAAGTTACATTAAAAGTTCATATGTGTTTTGTAAAATGGTAAAATACATCCGGGGTCTATACTGCTCAACAAATATCTCTCGACATATCCTATTAGACAAGGCTATCCGGTAATTGAGTTCAATCGTTAAGCTTTGAAAATTAAGAATAACATTTTACTATTATATTTGGATCTAAAACACAATAACAAATGAGTTGTAGTGTAATTGAAATAGGTTTACTAATAAAGGCAGTGTCCCAAGTTTAAATCATGGACTACTAATTACATATTATTTGTACCAATACGCAAACTACTACGAGAGGTTGGATAATCATTTTCTCACATTTTAAGGGTGTCTTTTTTTTTTTTTTTTTTGCTTATACGCAAATTACTATCGTAGGTTGAATAATCGTGTTTCCAAATTTTAAAGATGCATGTATCCGCCACTGGATAATGATAGCTCAAAAAACATGAATCCGGGATTGTGATAGAGTCGTAATGGAAGAGATTATCGGTACCTATACATTCGCTCGTATAAATTCTAACAATAGTAATGAGTATTTTTCTCATATGATGCTCAAATTGCTCCTTACAAGGAACCTTCTTCACATCCTGTGGGAAGATTGATAAGTTCGAAGGCGAGAACTTTTGCTTGTGGCAAAAAAAAGACGTATTTTCCTCTTGCGACTCTCAAAGTGGTGTAAGTACTCTGTATCTTGAAAGTGAGTTGGAGGTGGAAGAAGTTGGCGATGAAGAAAGAAAGAGGCGTCTTTCATAAATGATGAAATGGGAGAACGACAACTATTTTTGTGTATGTCACACGTATAATGATTTCTCTGACTCGCTATTCGATATTTACAAACTATATGATAATACTTTAGATCTTTGGATGCATTAGAGGCCAAATAAGTAAATGTCATATTTGATCACTGAGATTACTAAATCATGTCATGGTTAATCACTAGAAAAAATTAATATCAATTTTGGCCACTTGAATTACTGAAATAGATCACATTTAGTCACTCTCCCGTTAGCCTCCGTCTAACTCTGGTCTCTTGAATTACCTTCTTTTTTTATGAATGTCACTCAAATTACTGAAATATGTCACATTTAGTGGACGGAAACTAACGGGAGAGTGACTAAATGTGACATGTTTCAGTAATTCGTGTGACCGAAATTGATATTAATTATTTCTAGTAACTAAACATGACATGATTTATTAATCTCAGTGACCAAATGTGGCATCTACCCGAGACCAATTTACGATGGATGAGCTATCTAGCAAGAAGTTTCTTGTAAATAATTTCTTTTAACACTTACAAAATAGCAATTTCTGAGAATGATGTGGTTTGGTGGATGGACTCTGGATCTAATAAGTAAGGACCATAAACATGTTCAAGAATTTCAGGTGTGTCGGGCCTGCTTCAATGGGCTTTGAGAACCTGACATAGCTATTGGGCCAGCGGTACTGTTCTCAATGCCAGGTCTCTCGCATTTCCGTAGCCATTGCTGAATATTCGCGAGTCGTCAGCACGGATGGAAAGTGGAAAGATTGCTTGACGCGAAAAGGTCATTTCCAAATTGATCGAAACAAAGCTAAGTATCCATGGCTGGGAAGTAAGACAGTTTTGAAGTAAACAGCCAATGGCTGTGAATGATGTAACCAATGATGCAAACTCACCAAACCTTGGCCGGAGATCCGGTCGATCAACTTTTCCTTGTAAACGAAAGCCAACATTACAAGCGACAGAAAGCAACTGAATAAACAAAACAACCCATGATGTAATCTGGAGAATTATTTATTCATCGAGAAGCAACCAAATGAAAGTGGGTGGTAGTGGTAGGTGAATCAAATCGGCCGGCAGAGGAGAAGAGAGAAAAAAAAAATGGCAGGCCTATTCGACAAGCAATCGGATCTGTACCTCGACGCCCGGCCCACTTACCCGCCGGAATGGTACTCCAACCTCGCTTCCCACTCCCTCCTCCACTCCCTCGCTTGGGACGTCGGCACCGGCAACGGCCAAGCCGCTATTGGGGTTTCCCTTCCCTCATTCACCTTCAATTTCCAATCCCAGATCTGATTCAATTTCTTTCTGCCGTCTAATTAGGTTTCGATTCGATTCAGGTGGCGGAGCATTACGACCAAGTTATCGGAACCGACGCAAGCGAGCCCCAGCTCCGCCGCGCAATCCCGCACCCGAAGATCCGCTACCTCCACACTCCGCCGTCTCTCCCCGACGACGACCTGGTCTCCCTCGTCGGCGGGGAGAACTCCGTCGATCTGGTCACGGTCGCGCAGGCGGTTCACTGGTTCGACCTCCCGAGGTTCTACGCCGTGGTTGGCCGGCTGCTGCGGAAGCCCGGCGGGGTCATCGCCGTGTGGTGCTACAACGACATCGTGGTCTGCCCGGAGTTTGACGGCGTGTTCAAGAAGTTCCACGACACTACGCTGCCGTTTTGGCACCCGAGTATCCGCCACGTGTTTGATGGGTACAGAAACCTGCCGTTTCCGTTCGACCCGGTTGGGTCCGGGTCCGGGTCCGGTTCGGGCGGGGAAGGGCGGCCGGTGGAGCTGGATATACCGAAGGAGCTGTCGTTCGAAGGAATGGTGAGGATGGTGCAGTCGTGGTCGGCGGTGATTACGGCGAGGGATGAAGGAGTGGAGTTGCTGCCGGAGAATGTTGTGAAGGAGATGGAGGTTGCGTGGGGCGGGGCGGGTTTGGTCCGGCCCATTGTTTACAAGGCGTTCATGCTCATTGGCAAGATTAATCTCTCTAATTAATTCAACAAAGCACTCTTTTTCTTTTAATTAGTGCAACTATGAGAGTGTATGTTGGTAATAATTATGGTGGAGTTTGTAATCGCATGATTAACTTATTGGACTTAATTCCAAAATAAAAACTTATTGGATTTAAGAGATTTTTTCAATAATAGCACCTATTAAAAAAAATTACAAAAATAGCATCCAGCCCACAAAATTTACAAAAATAGCACCATTTTTATCAAATCGCACTTCCAAGGTGCGTTTTATAGTTAAACCACACCCTCCATGTGCGTTTTATGTATAAACCGCACCTTGGAGGTGCGTTTTGCGCCACGTCAGACTGGAAACTGCACCAGGAAGGTGCGGTCTGTGTTTCCTCGGGAGCAGGCTTGGAGACCGCAGGATAAGGCAGCGATCCAGTGGCGGACCGCTTGCCACCTCAGTGATCCTTGCCACGGATCGAAGACCGCAGCTGGCAGGTGCGGTCAGCACCTCGATCAACTCAAACCGCATCGGGAGGGCGCGGTTTCTGGCTGGGCTAAATTACCAGACCGCCCCTGGAGGGTGCGGTCTGAAGGGTATAAATACCCTCTCCCCCCCCCCCCTCATTTTTACACACCACAACCATTCTTCACTCTCTCTCTAGAATTATCTCTCTAACCCCTCCCCTCCCAAAAGGCTAGGAAATAGTGGTCTGTTGGTTGCGGCTAAGTCCGATCTGCCATCAGAAAACATTTCTTTGGTTTTTCCCTCCAAACCCGCCGAATTTATGTCCGACTTTCACGAAAAAATGGACGAGTGGTTCCAAGGAGAGGGAGTTTATTATGATGAATTTCAAGCGGTACGTACTCATTATTTTGGTCAATTTTTGTTTTTGTTATGAGCTTTTTAATTATCTATGTACTAACCTTGTTGTTATTCTCTCATAGGTTGGGGACGACGTGAATATATACAACCAACGGTACTATTTGGATCAAGGGCCTATTGATCCAACCGACTTGTACGACCAACCCAACCATCGTTCAAGGGATATTTGGAACGATCACCCGATACATACAATTCTTCATCATTTATCTTTCTTTTATTTTGCTAATGTACTTAGTGGAATATAAAATAAATTTGAAATAATTTAATAGTATTGGTTGTTTTCAATAATTTAATCGAATACATAGCGCCACTTACTTCGACTCTTTATAAAGAGATGCACGTCTAAGAAAATTGGGTTTTAAGCATTATCATGATCCTCCCATTTCCTGGGAAAATCGGGTATTAAGAGATCTTCGGATCCCCCCTTTTTCTGTCAAAAAGGCTGCGTTTCCAAGAAGATGTATACCTCTTCTAAGAGTCTAACGAGTGTTGCATTGTATTCGATTAAATTATTTAAAACAACCAATATGATTAAATTAATTACCAAACAACCAATACGATTTGTGTTTATGTGTACTTAAATGAATTTTATTAATTTCAAATGTTTGAAAATGTATGTATCTCTTTAAATTATTATTCATTTAGAATGTTATTTATATCACTTAATTTAGTATGTTTGTTTTATGATAATATGTATATAGCTTGGAAAAAACCGCAAATTACTTAAATTTGATTGTTAATAATATAATAATAATAATAATAGAATTATGGTCAAAATTAAATCATTAATTTTAATTAATTTAGGGGTCGTTTGGAAGTTGCGTTTGTTTTGTTGAGATTGTCATTATGCATGTATTGTTTACAATGCATCGTTTTTTTTTTTTTAGCAGAAACAATACATGGATTGTTTCTGTGATGTGACAGAAACTATCACTCATTTTGAGTGATTGTTATATCTCAACTTTTAGTTGTCTCAGCTTTTAGCTGATGCGACATACACAATCACACATACCAAACGTTGTATTTTACAATGCATCAAATTCGACAATACATGTATAATATTATACATGCATTCTCAACAATACATCTATTTAACAATCGCAACTTCCAAACGACCATTAGTTATAAGACTAAACTGTTACTAATATATCATAAATAATTTTAATAATGGTCGAAATTAAATCATTAATTTTATTTAATTTAGTTATAAGACTAAACTGTTAGTAATATATCATAAATAACGTTGAAATTTTTGCTAGGAGGCACAACAAATACTCCGCTACAGGGGTACGACCAATGTGCTCCCATGGAACCCAGTTATCTTGCCCTTTCTCAAAAGGCATGGTTGGAGTCGATTAGGCATTTTTTAGGCATAAAAGTCGATCGCCAACTCATCACCGCATTGGTGGAGAGATGGAGAAAGGAGACACATTGTTTCAACTTTCGCAAAGGAGAGTGCACCATCACACTCAAGGACGTCGCCATCCTAACTCATATGCCCATAGACGGCAAAGCGGTGTGTGTGAGTGATCACCCCCCGAAGATCGTGACGGTATGACCGGTTGACAGTGTTTCATCTACAGTGTTTTGGGGGTGAAAGTACCAACCAAGGGGAGCGTTGATGCGACGCATCGCTTGCCACCATTGAGGAAAGGCCAAGTATCAATCACTTGGTTGACGAAGTATTTTAGGGACCTTCACGATCCTGAAAAAAATGGAGTGCCCCTAACCGAGGAAAGTCCGGAGCTAGAGAAGGAAAGATATGCTCGTGTCTATCTCATAGGCATGATAGGAGGAGTGTTCTTCTCCAAAAAAATCGAGCAATTTAATTAGCCGCGGATGGCTTAGGATCCTCCTTGGTAGTTGGTATGCGATGGGGGAGTAGAGCTGGCTTCCGCTTGCCTAGCTAATATCTACCACCATTTGTGCAATGCATATCTCAAAGCTGTGAGGGAGGTCGGCGACGCAATGTTCATCGTCCAATTTTGGGCTTGGGAACATCTGCCGCAGCAACCACCGTGGATTTCAATTGTCGATGTCCTTGGGATGTTATGGATGACACACATGTGTGTGTGTTCACCGCACGGGATATGACCTAATGGCCATGTCTCTTGCTGTTGATGGTTCGAATCCTAACATTGCATCCCTCATTATGATTACGGCATCTGACTATGAGCCTTTTCGTGCTGGAATGAGTTGTGTGTCATTCAAAATGCCGATTCATTGCTTCAGTGTCAATAGCGTGCCGCACCTCCTTCTTTGAGCCAAATTGTTGGCCCTTCATAAACCCAGTGAGTGGACCCCATATTGGAATCTCCGGGGGTTCCATGTCACTGTCGACCATCCAATTGTAGTAGGGGACTGGTACACGGTCATGAGCCAACTCATCATCATTATCTGAGTCTGACTCTGGTCCTGAATCATCAGCACCTTCAAGAGGGTCGGAGCTGTCTGCACTGACGTTGTTCTCTCCTTCTTCATCAGAGGGGTAACTGACTGGTGCTAGCAGGGCATCTTCCATCTGATCCAGCTCATGAAAGGCACCTTCACCAGCTCCATAATGGTAGTTGTGAAAACTACCACTGCCTGATTGGAAGTTGTACTGGGTTGTTGGCATGGGCCGGTTGAACTTCTTCTTCATATGACGGTAAGATTGATGATGACCTTCACCTTGCTCTTGGTACTGAAAATAGGAATGAGGATCATGGTAACTTGGTGGGGATGATCTCCATATAATTCACCTCCACCATGGAAACTAGATGTTTGACCGTCTCCAGAATGACCTCCAACGCCTATGACCGGCTTGGTGTAAACGAACATCTCGACTCTGGAAAGATTGTTGGACCTCAAGAATTCGAGCATGGCATCTAACTCATCCTGAGTGGTTATGAGATATTCCTCGTGCCACAACGACCCACCTTCTCTGTTTGGATATCGGTACACCATACGATCAACTCTTCTCGTGTCATCCATGCAAGTAACGTTAGTACACATTTTAAAGAGGTCTTCAAGCATCGGTCTGGTAGCGACCTTATTTTCTGAAAATTGCCACCGACGTAGGTGACCCCCTTTCCGCTCGCTTCCGTGTAACCATTCCACCGTAATCCAAGCGTGAACTTTTGGAATGCCATCTGCAAAAAAACAGTAGTTCAACTAATATCATAAAAATCACAATTCACAATAAAAAGTAATACAAAATAAACTTGCGAGTTAACGTTAACCGCAAAAACACTAGAGAAATAGGGAGCTACAACAGAAAATTGAAAAGGGAGAAGGAGAGGTGTGAAGAGAAGAGATTTCCCAGGCTGCCTTTTATAGGCAAAATCATCAATGAAAACCGCACCTTAGAGGCTGCCTTTTAGAGGTGCGGTTTTCATCTGCCATGCAACCCCTCGTCTGTCAATATGCATGGTTGCATGTCTGGTGTCGGAAAATAATTGACACACAAACCGCGTGGGGGAGGTGCGGTTTGTGTTGCCAAAACCGCACTTTGAGGGTGCGGTTTGTTTTGGAGAAGCAAAACCGCATCCCCAAAGTGCGGTTTTGCTAGGTCAGGACTAGACCGCATCTGGGCCATGCGGTTTTGTTATGTCAGACCGCAAATCGCATGGCCAAGATGCAGTTTTGGCCCAGAAAGCTAAACCGCACCTTGTGGGTGTGGTTTAAATACAAAACGCATCAGGGGGTACGATTTTTAAAAAAGGATGTTATTTTTGTAATTTCTACGGAATGGGTGCTATTTTTGTAATTTTTTTTAAAGTGCTATTTCTGGAAAAATCTCTAGATTTAAACCCACGTATTATAATTCCTTTCCTTAACCAAATCAATGGTGCCAAATTCATTGTCAGTGATTGAGGCTAGTTGCTTCAAATGAGCCAAGTTGTTGGCTAGAGATTCGTCGTCGTTTGGATTAAGAAATTTTGTTTGTAACTTATTGTCATTAGTGAGAATTGCTATGTAAGTGACTAGAAACATTAAATATTTATTCGTAGCAATCTACCTCCTCTGTATTTCATCTTATCCAAATTTGATATCATCCATCTCTATGTCCCCTATTGAGATTTAAGTTTGAACCACAAAGCTTCTATGAGGTCTCATACATTATTAGTAGCGTAAGTACCAGACTACCGGTAGAATTGTACCTTCGGATATCTACTTTTCAGCATATGGGCCTCATTGTTACAGTCATGATTCGATACTGATTTGTAACACTAATCAATGAGCAAGAAATTCTTTGTACCAAAGAGCTGACAGTTTCGGGAATCGTATCGAGGGATTTTTAAAATCGACATAGTACAAACCGAAACGAAATGTATAACCCGCTTGCCACTCGTAGCTGTCAATTAAAGACCACGCCATGTAACCCTTCACATTGGCCCCTTCCCTGTCAAAATTTTCAAAAAAAATAAACCAACATTTAAGAAATGTTAAAAGTTACTCCATTGAAGGTTTTGTTTGTAATATGCAAAATAGATTTACTAATCAATTACTTGATTGCCATATTTAGGTTGGAAATATGTCCTTGAAGGGCCTGAACCCTAAACATATCATATGGTGCCTCTCCCGCCTTGAAGGGGAGTTTACCATTATCAGGAACCCCTACAAAAAATAACAAAATGAAAGTCAAAATCCCTACTTGCCAAAGAACAACAACAAAAAAAAAAATTTGAAATCAATTTTGCCTATGAAACCCTAAAATCACTTGCCATTTTCAGTAATGTAGACGATGGGATTGTTGTACTTGTCTTTTATGTGTAGCAGTAGGTCTTTAAATCCCTCTGGATATACATACAACCAAAATGCGATCGTCTGCAAACAAAACAAAAACAAAAATTAGTTTTCAAAAAATTATTAAATTTTGTTGTGAGAAAAAGACGTTGAAGACGATAAATCTCTGCCCCATCCTCACCGGTGTGCCAATAAGTTTCCCATCACGTTGGCCTGCATTGGATTGGAAATTAATTGAAGATTTAAGATATTAGAGATGAAGAACAATGAATTAGCTAAAGATTGAGAATTAATTAATTAATTAATTAATTAGCTAGGTCAAAAATTACTTGTCAAGTTGACATTTGGATCAGTCATGTAGGATGGACGTGATGGAGGAGATCCAACGTAATCGGAAGCATATCTGCTGGTGTAGTAGTTGAGGCCAAGATAATCAAATGATCCTTTCAGTGAATTCGATTCCTCTGCCGTAAATTTCGGGAGTCGTTTACCAAGAATATCTTTCATGCTTTTCGGGTAATCTCCGGTAGTAATCGGATCCATAAACCTGATTAACAAAATTAATTAATCATTAGCCTTATCAATCGATGTCCCAAACCAGCGATCAATGTACACAATTAACAACTTCAAGTATTTAACTCGGTTCTTGTCTTACCATCCAAAGTTAAAATCAAGGGCTCTCTGTGCAGCATCTGCGTCCTGCTTGCTTGAGGTGTAAGGAATAAACCAATCTGAGTTCAATGTGATTGTAATCATGCCCTTTTGAGTTACCTGTAAACGCAAGGTACCGTATATAGATGCACAATTGATAATAAAGTTTCTGACGAAATCTGAATGTGAAAGCACAAAGAGAGATAGACCTGGTACTTCTG